TAAACACCTTTTGGTTATGCCATGATCATGCAATGCAAACAAAAGAAATCAATATGAACAGATTAGAGCAATGTAACATGCATGAAAAAATAAGAAAAAATAGAATAGTTAGTATCAACTAATGGAAAAAAAAATCTATCTATCAAGGTATAAATCTTAACCTCATGCTTTCTAGTTCCATGCTTTGTTTGGAAAATTTAACCTAACCGCATGATTTCTAGTTCGCATGCATTTATTCAGGAAAAAGAAAAGGAAATAAAATAAATTAAAAGCTAGAGCTTATTTCTCCTTTGTGTATTTCGGCATGGTTTCAGATCGGGAGAGTTTCTAGGGTTTATTATATGCAGGTTTCCAGTTCTAGGAGTAAAGGTACTCGAATTGTTCTTGTTAGTACCCCCTTGGGCTGCTAACCCTCTATCCTAGTCCATCACAGACTAAAGTGGATCGAGTACAATTCGAGGGGATATATTTCTCTATGCCTGACACAGAGAATAAATTCTCACGAAGACATAGAGCATATGAACCCCGAAAGTTACTTGCTAGGTCTGACACGGAGAATAAATTCTCACGAAGACGTCGCTTTCACTCCCACTTAAAAGGGACAAACTCAATTATAGAGCTTTATGTTATGCAATGCAAGTGTTGTGTGTGAGGAGAAATGTTCAAACCTCTAACAGATAAATAAATAATGAAATAAAATGCTTGCAAATAAAATGAAATAATATATATAAATACTATGAAAATAATAAGTATATATAAAAAATTTGAAAAGAAAGAATTATAAATTAAATATATAAATTTTTAATTTTCTAATTGATAGAGACAATTAATAATTGGTTTTAAAGTTTGACGGTTCCCAGTGGAGTCGCCAAGCTGTCGTAACCGGTTTTCGTCCGGGCACGAATTTTTTATACTTGGCGGGAAAAGTGATGTGAATAAATGGTTTAAAATAATTTGGGAGTCGCCATCGACCTTTTGGGTCAGGTAGGTCGAATACCTAAAAATTATCTTTTAAAAGAGTTTTTAAAAAAACATCAGTTAAAAGATAAACTGATCTGCGTTTTAACCAAAAATTCATTCTTTTTAGAAATAAAAAGTGATTCGTGGTCGGTTACGTTTAGGGAAGGATTAGCACCCCTACAACGCCCAAAATTAGTACTTTTTAATTATAAATTGTCTCTATTATTAGAAATTTAAAAATTCAAAATATATTTAATTTATAATCCTATTATTTCAAAATTATAATTATATATAAAAAAAATATTAATTTATATATTTATAAATAAAATATTTATTTATTTAGAAATATCAGAAAAAGACTTCTAGGTACCTTAAGACAGCTCTTTTCTTCGATATTAAAAAATAAATAAATAATTAAAACAATTAATATATAATTTATAAAATAGGATATTTATTTATTTAAAAATATCAGAAAATGGACATCCAGTTGTTTTAAGACTGCCCTTTCTTAATATTGAAAAATAAATAAATATTAAAACAGGATTAAAATAAGTTAAAAGTAATTAAATAAGATTTTAATAAATAAAATAAATATTATAAATATATATATTTATGGCTAAATAATAATATTAACATATAAAATTAGCATATAATGAACAAAATTAAAACTATATATTTAAAATAAATAAAACTTGTAAAATAAATAAAAATTGAAATTAGTGACTAAATTGTAACTTAATAGAATTAAATACCTAATTCATAACTAATTATTTAAAATTTGAGTGACTAAACATGCTATTCTTCTTATTTATTAATTTAGTGACTAAACTAAAATTATATAAAATTCATATATCAAATTAAAATAAATTGAAATATGATGTTCGGGGTTTAAAATATTAATTATTAAAATTAAAGGACTAAATATTTTATTTATCCTAAATATATTATATACAGATAAGGATTAAAATAATATCAAATAAAATTATGAGACTAAATTAAAAAGATCAGAAAATAGTTCCAGTGACTAAATTGCAATGTTACAAATATACGGGGATTGCGGGTATAGTTTACCTATTTGGGAAATTACACATGTACCCTCCCCAAAACGATGTCGTTTGGGGAGGGTTTTAAATACCCAAACGGCCGGCCCTTCGGGCCATTTATTTCATTTCATCTCTTTTCATTCTCTCTCTAACTGAGAGAGAATGAAAAAATGCTCTGTCATCTCTCTTCAACTCCCTTATCTGAGGGAAAAGAATTTCGGCCGTCCGCCTTACTCCAGCGCCGGTAGCCACCGCCGACCACCGTTCAAGGTGGCCGGAATTTGGAAAATTATCCCAAATCGTAGATCTCTATATCCTAAGGTCAAATATGACCTCTATTTATCCTAAAAACCCTTAGAATTTCCTAGATCTAGGATTTTACCTTCGAAATCCGAAGGTTTCCGGCGATGTTTCAAATGCCTCCGATGACAAAGTAAGCTCTCTTTTCTCTTCTCTTTTTTTTTATTTGGTTTGTTGTTGATTGGGATCGTTGGTAGCTTTCTGTCTTCCTTCGTTTTTCTTCTTTCGTCTTTGTTCTCTGTTGCTGTCTCCTTGCTCTCCATGGCTGTTGGTTCTTCTGTGTCTTTGCTTGTTGTTGGTCTCCTCTTTGTTTTTGCAGGTTCGGTTTTATAGGCCTCGATGAGGCTCTCGTCGGACCGGTCCCAGAGGTGTTTATCGGTGAGTCACCAGACTTCCAGTGGTGACTCACCTCTAGAGCAGCGACGTGTATGACCTCGAGATGCTTCTGGAGCATTCTGGTGAGGTGGTGTCAAGGTAGCAAGGCGTCGGCAGCTGCTGGTTGGGTCACCTGGCATTGAAGGTGTCGGCTGGCTGGCGAACGGTGGCCATGTGGCCCTAGGGTATCATAACCCTAGGGTTTTTGCTGGGACGATCTAAACCGTTGGATCAATGCTAGATCCAACGGTGGAGAAGCAAAGAGGCAGCAGCACTAGGATAGAAAACCCTAGTTGGGTTTTAGGGTTTCTGATGGGTTTACTCAGTTGGGCCAAAATTGGGCTCCTGTTTGGGTTGTAATTTGGGCCTGTAATATATAATAAATAATATTATTAATAATAATACTAATAAATAATAATAATAAAAATAAAAAAACCAAATGTAAAAAACTAGTGTCTTCATATACTATTTTATTATTTTATTTTAATTAATTTTAGTAGGTATATTTTTTATATTTAAGGTCCATATCCTTTAAATTTACAGTTTATATTTATTATTTTAATTATTTGTCTATTCTCTTAATGTTTATTCACATTATAGTATATACATATTTTTTATTTATTTTATTTATCTCTATTTACTTTTATTTATCCTTATTTATTATTTTCCTTTTATATCTTCTCTTTATTTTTTATTATTCTTGTCATATATATATATATATATATATATATATACTATTTTATTAGTTTTTAATAATTTTGGTATTTATACATTTTTCCTTTATTTTTCATAGCTTTTAGATTTACTATTTATATTTTTAATTATTTTTCGTTTTCATTAATTCCTTTTATTTTAACTCTTTGCATTATAATGTTACCATGATAATTGAATTGATTCTTTGATTTGTTTCTTTAAACTTTTTTTAATATTCTATGAAGCATGTTGTTTGATTGCATGACATCTTTATTTATTCGGATAAGCATGATATCCTCATTCGCATCGCTTAACCTTTTTCATAATAAATTAAAAGACAATGCACATTTAATTAAATTATCAAAGAGAGTTATGTTAATTCACCCGAGTAGTTTAATTCATTAATTTAAAGCGAATGTGTATCCTTCAATGAAACCATAAATATATGATAACTTTTAAAATTGATTAGGAGGGTAGAAAGGGAAATATTTAGATATTTAGATTTATCGAAGGTGGGTGGAGGTTTAATTTCGATACTTATAAATAGGAATATTCAAAACCATGTGCCTGTATTTTCGGGTACCCAAAGTACCGGGTACCCGGACTGTTTGGGTATTAAAAAATCGGCTCATGACCCGACCCGTAATATTAGGGTATTCACAAGTCGGATACCCGCATAAACAAGGTACCCGCTGGTTTGAGTAATAGGGTACCTGGTTTTTTTCTCTCCAAATTTTGTACTAACAGTAAACAATAATGCACTAAACAATAAATGATTATGCACTAACTTTTCTGTAAAAATAAAATTCTTAACTTGGACGCTTAAAAATCTGAATTACATAATTCAAACATAAAGTTAAAAAATTCAAATTGCATAATCCAAATATAAAATTAAAGGTCTATTTATTTCACTGAAAATGAATTTTAAAAAATGAATTACATTTCTGGAAAACATTTTTCAGAAAATATTTTACATTGTTTGGATGCTGCATTGTAAAATATTTTACGTTGTTTGGTTAATTTTTCTGAAAACAATTTACGAAATCTTTTTTTTTTAAATGTATACATTTTTATATCTTTTTTGTTATTTACCTTTTAAATTTTTTTTAAGTTATTTTTATAAAATTGTATTTTATAAAATTTTAAAATTAAATATTTTATTTCTATAAATACACCAAATTAAATTTGTAGATAATATTAATAATTTATGTTGATTGTGTTATAAATACACAATTTTAGGTTTAAAGTATTCATGATACTTATTTATTAGCATTTTTAAGATTAAATTTTAAAATTATAATATATGTAGGTTTAATTGATATAATCTTGATAATGTATTAAAAATATATTATCAAAGTAAATAATTAAAAATACAGCATTATTAAAGCAACAATAGTACATCACATTGGAATAATAATAATATTTTCAAAGTGTTTAATTAAAACTACACCACATCAAGACAACAATATTATCTAACCATAATTTACAAAGATATTGTCTAATTCATAATTAGTGCTACAACACATCAAACCAATATTGCTAAAGTCTATAATTAGTACTAGAACACATTAAAGCTTAAATATTGTCTAATTCATAAATAGTAGTACACCACATTAAAAGTTCACTTCTTAACTTTGAGGAAACTTTTGAAGCCAAATTTTCCTATGTTTTGATTTTTTTGCCAAGAAAGATTTGGACTCCATCTCATTTTTTGCTAAAAAAATCGAACACCTCACAATGAAAGTCGTCATCAAATCCTTCTTTCTCCATTGACATAACTTCTTCATAAAGATATGGTGTCTTATCCTCTGTAAATTTTTTTAGTGCTTCAGCAATCTCACCAAGTTTCTCACTTATAAATTGAATATGATCATCCTCGACATTCTCTTGAACATTCATCCTTTTACGTTTTGATGTACCATATGAAGAAAATTTTGATTTTTCCTCATTGATATCTTGAGTGTCGAAATTTAACGACATTGAACCTTCATTAACATCATTCAATTCTATATCAGCAAAAATTCTAGCAAAACTCTTTATTGTCATATATTTTGACCAACAACAAGTTCCATCTCATCATAAGAATCAATTTTTTTTGTTAAAAAATTGTCCAAATTTTGAGTGTGCCTATTAAATATTACATTTAAGCTTTTACCTAAGCTAAAGTTCATACTAAGTTTAAGCTTTTACCTAAGCTAAAATGGATGTAATTTATGTCGATATACTATTAAGAATTTATGTCATATATCATATATTTGAAAAACGTACCTCGTTTCTTTTTTTGATCAATGAAAGATTGTAAATTCCTTGGCTTTTGAATCAGTTTAGTTGCTGCAATAATAATAGCAAAAAATGTTAACTTGTATATTTCTTATTGTAAAGAAATAATAATAAGAAACCATAGCTAGTCTGAAAACTACCACATCCAAACTATTACTCAAGAATAAATAAACTATTACATAGTGCAGCATGTAAAGCTGGAAATTTCATGATGTTTTATAATCGATCTAGGCTAGTGCAAACTCATAAATGTGATTTTCAGGGTGAAAAACAAGCAGCATATTTTATAAAGCATTAACTATAATAGAAACATGAATCACATGAAATGTTAGTATATAAATTGAACTAAAACTAAATTCATACCATAGAAACAAGCAGCAGGTCCATAACGAGCAACCTTGACAACAACTTTAGTATTTCAAAAGTTCAATAATCAATATTTTCCAGCGTGTACCAAAAAAAAAATCAATATTTTCCAGGTCCAGAAACAGCAATAGCTAAAATGTTCACGATTCAAATCTCTATTCAACATTTTAATAAAACATAAAGCAACACTAATGATCATAAATGGAGCATAAAGAATATAAGGAATTAAAAACACCAATGGGGAATTATACAAAGACGGATCTACGAGACCTATCAGTCTGGCGGGAGAGACGGATTTTTTTAAGCACATACCTTATCATTCCCAAAGAAAAGAGGAAAGATAAATCAATTGACATAAGATGTATCGATCAAGGAAGTCTAATTGTTGATCTGATATATTGCACAATTCATGCTAAAGTAAATACAAATATTGGGAAGGCAGTGTGTCTTGCAGTAATGCAAACTATTTCACAGCCCTGTTCAAGGTTAAGCTTTTGAAAATACCAACAAAAATACAAAGAGAGCAAGGATAACTGAATATAATCAGCAGATGAGATTACTTTGTTCAGAATAACGAAGTTCTATTGGTAGAACCATGCAAAAAATTCAACGACCAAATCATGTAATCCTTGTAAATCACTCCCTGCCCTCTTTTTTTTCTAGCTTATAGTCGATGTTAGGAGTGTGCAAGTCTAGTTGTCACTCAGAGCCACTCGACCACTCCTCTTTCAGCCCTCCTTTCCTATGCCACTACGCACTTTCTAGACCTTAGACAAGTATTCATAAAACCAAGGGTACAAACACATGGATGTTAGGAAAACACCAAGTACACAACACAAGAAGGAAATCTACTTAAACCGCAATCTACATACAGAGTCATAACAACCAACTGGCGCATAATTCGCCATTGTATATGCATAATCTTCTCCGATTTGACCCACCGAAACCAGGAGGAATTCAAGAATAAATTTCCAGACAATTTAAAAGTAAGAAACAATAACTCCAAAAGTCTCCCAAATTAGCTTGACACAGATAGCTAACAGTTTACACTCTAAATGCTGGTAGACCAATAAAAGGGATTGGTACCACTTGGCATTGGTTACAAAGTACAAAATTCAACCAGCACAATGCTACCAAACACTGCACAGAGAGACAAGTTGAAGGGGACAAAAGAAAACAAAAAACCAAATATTAAAATAAGATCAAATATCACTAGAGGAATGCTTTTAAGCAATGACTGAATACATAAACACAGTTCTGCCATAAACAAAAGCTATTAGTATACAAGCAGTGATGACAATCAATATTGGAGACAGCAAAACAATGCGCCAAAAAGATGTTATATGGTACAATAATTCACACAAAAACACTAATGTCCAGGATTCTATTTGATGCCGAAGTTTGTGCATGTAAAGGTCCTTACATCTATAAACCAAACTGTACTACAAACACCAGGTATATAATGCAATACAAAAAAAAATTCGTCTTCACACATCTATAAACCAAAATAATCTGCTAAAATATCACACAGAGAATGTGTAAAAAAAATAGATAAACAACCCCAATGGAAGTCCATTCATGATGGCAAGTCCACAATCAATCGAACAGGGATATCATTAAGATTTTATTCAAATTGACAAGGATTTGTCAGAGGGTGGGGGCTTCCCTGGCTGCCGAGAGAACTAAGAAATGAAAAGGGAAGATTCTCTAAACAAGGACTGTAATAGGGCTAGGTCTCAACATTGCTAGCAAACACATTACTACAATTTTCCCAAATCATTCAGTAAAATAAATACCAACGCCAGGCTCATAGCTACTCTACACAAGAAAACGAAAGGCTCATAAAGTCTTTCTCAAGGCTGTAAACAAGGAAAAAGAAGAAGAATCTATCATTTGGAAAGAGGAGAAAGAGTTCTTAGGGATTCGGAATAATCCCAGACTTTACTTTACCTTGGAATCGTGGGCACTAGGATGTGAAACTGCTCACTCTGCTTTTGCTGGTACAAAATCTGCTGCTTTTGTTTTGGGCTGAGTAATCGTTTCTGGTGAGAAGAAGATGGTGATAGTTGATCGGAGAATTTTGGGTGTCAAAGGCTTTGAAGGGAAAGCATTAGGTTCGTAAAATGACCTCCCTTTTTTAGATGGTAAGTGGTTTTACGGGATTTAGGAGCTTATTTTACGTTGAACGTAAAACTTTTTCCATTGACCAAGTACTTTTACTTGAACCAAACACAGGAAAACATTATCCGTAAAATGTTTCCCCCCAAACAAACAGACCCTAAGATGTTAAAAGTCTAAAGAAAATGCAACTAAAGAGATATATTGCATTGCTCCAAAACTTTGCTCGTCTCATCAATGATAATTGTGGGTTGCTCCAAAGTCAAATCTTTCATTTCTACATAAAAACATTACAAATATACGTCAATAATAATATTATATGTTTAGAAATATAATTATTTAAATATAAAAAAATGTAGATAAATATTATAAAAATTAATAAATTTGTAATCGAAAGCTACCTTCTTCCATATTCTCTAATGCTTGCAAGCTCTCCTCTATCATGATGGGTTCATGAGAAGTGTGTATCCAATCTTGAGTACAAATAAGAGCATCCACCAACCTAGGAGTCAAAGAGGTGCATAAGGAATCAAGAACATGCCCTCTCGTGCTAAATGCGGACTCTGAAGCAACGGTAGAAACCGGAATGGCAAGTATATCACGTCTCACTCATAAGAATAGGATAGCTATTTGTTTGCACAGACCACCAATCTAAGATATCAAAATTATCATTATCACGAACATATTTATCCCCCAAATACTTGTCCAGCTCGGTTGTTGTTTCAGAAGTGTCATTTAGTTCTACCTTTGTCACGTAATCTTTTCTCAAATTTGTTCCTTTCAACTTCCTTATTTCTCTCTCACCACCATGAAGACCACTAGAATTAGGACCCAAAGAGTATGATCTCATTTGAGTTGAAGAAGGATGCAAAGAAGCATAATAATCAAACAACGATGTTAAAGTATCTTTAATCCGTTAACACAAGACATAAGAGTCACTAGGATCATAAGAACGACGAACGATCTATTCAACATATCTCAACTTATGCCTAGGATAAAAAACTAAAGCAATGAACATCAACACATTCACATTATTAACATTCGCCCAATATTTATCATATTTCAATTTCATTTGGCGTGCCATACTCTTAAGCCTGTTATTCAAGTCATCAACATAACGGTTAATTGTATACCCAATATCATATATTTCTTCCACAAAGGTATTACCAGACACATAGCTTGATCTAGAAAAACTCAATGTAGTCTCATAAAATATTTCAAGAAACGGCAAGAGAGATGCAACTTTATCCCAATCTTCATCATTAGAAGCACCACTGACCTTCCTAAGCTCCTTTGTGCAAGGAATGTACTTAGTTTTCATATTTTTGAACGCCTTCCTAAACACCAAGGCACTCTTAAGCATGGAATTTGTGGAATTCCATCTTGTTTCAATGTTCAAACAAACAAGAGACTTAGAACTTATACTCTCCTCTTCAACACAAGCTTTAATCTTTTGAAGCCTTGCAGGGGAAGACCTCACATATTTCACAGCAAGACAGACTCTCACAACAAAAACATCAACATCTTTCAGCCCATCTTACTTCAAAATATGTGCAACACATCTCATATGAAAAAAATTCAGCATTCAATACACTACCATCCCACAAGTTAAGAATTTGTTTCAAATACTTCATTGCTAGATCATTAGAACTAGCATTATCAACTATTATAGTCATGATTCTTTTAAGACCCCATTCTAGTAAACACTTTTCAATAACTCTACCAATAAGCTCCCCATAATGACTAACAATTGGACAAAAGTTTATGATCGTTTTATGCAATTTTCAGTCATCATCTATGAAATGGGCAGTAAGACACATATATGAAAAATTTTGACCAAATATCCATGTATCTGTTGTAAGACATAACCTAGAAGACAAATTCTTGAAATGATTTTTCAAATTCTTCCTTTTCTCAATAAACAAAGCATAGCAATCTCTAGTAATAGTAGCACGTGAGGGAGGAACAAAATTAAGAATTGCAATCTTACAAAAATGACGAAATCCTTCACGTCCAACAAAATTAAATGGAAACTCATCAACAATCACCATTTTAACAAGTGCTTTTCTAATCTCATCTTGATCAAAATGCCATAATCTAGGAACACTAAAAGTTTGTCAGTTTCAATAGGCCATCAGCATTGCACTTTGTCTTAAACTCAAAATCTAAGATTGTTTGTTTTGTATCAACATTAAAAGGAGCTTTCTTGCACCGATCAATGTGGCGTTTCATGGAATTAGTTCCATTATTAGATGCATAAGATATCTTTTGAGAACAATAAAGGCATTGCACATGAGATTTGTCACCCTCACATACTTTAAAATGATCCATATAGCAGAGGTTTTTTTCTTTTTTTCACTTGTAGCTTCAGCAGTATTTTTCCCTTTTCTTTTCTTTTTTGTATTTGTTGAAGTCTCCATCATCACATTTTCAGGTTCCTTAGATGACCCAGCTGAGGAAGATATCTTCCTTAAATCATCATTTTCCCCTATTATCGACATAATCTGGAAAAAAAATTGTTATATTACAAGTGAGTCATCAACAGTTTTATAGAATATAAATGATGATGATTATTTTAACTATCATTGCTCCTTAATTCAAGCTATCCGAAGATTACGGCGAAAGATTCGGACAACATATGTTCCTAAACATTCTAATAACAATCTTAAATTTAATCGCTCAAGATGCTCAAGATCCTTATCATAGAGATTTATGTAACTTAAACTCTTCTTCTAATTCAAAAAGAAAAGTTAATAAAAATATTTTAATAACTTTTAACCAATTGAGTTAATCGTTAATATCAACTTAATTAAAAACATTATGTATAATATATATTAGGATGATTTATCAAAATTCAATCAAGTTTGAGGGCTTGAAACAAAGTGCACTTTGGAATATTCATCCCACAAGTCTTTCCACACACAGACAAGTTCCCTTGAAGTGTTTGATCAATTTCCTTTAGTAATTGAAAAATCATATAAGTTAATTGATCCCTGAAGTGAATTGAGGAAAAGAAAGTAGAGGGAGAGCAGTTTTCCTATAAGTTAATCACCCTCACACACACTGCATTACTTTAAAAGCCAAATATCCCATGACTTCCACTTCAAAAATGTTTAGAGAATTCGATTCTTTGTTCCAATTGACCACATTTCACATAATCTCAAAGAAATGAAATTCAAATCCAGATCACAAATTATTTGGAATGAAAGAAGGCAAGTAATGAAACAATATTAATAACCCATACCAATTTTGGGTCTCTCGCTAATGCTTGCGACTGCTTGACGAGTGATTGTGAGGGACGATGATGATTAGATGGAAACACCGAACCAGTGAAGAATGCTCGCCTAACCGATCGCTTGAGGTCTGACGAGGTCGTGCGTGAGTGGAGTGGTGACTCGTGGCTTGAGAGTTTAGAGGTTGTGGCTCGTGAGGTTAGGGATTAGAAGTTTTAAATTTAGGATTACAAAAAGGGAAACGGGATAATAAAATCAAATTAAAGAAATATATAAAATATATAAAAAAAATTAAAATAAAATTAAAAGGTACCAGGTACCGGGTCAGCATGTACTCGGTTAAGTGACATATTGTGACTCGGGCTCGCCCCAAAAACTTAATAAAAGTAGCGGGTTGGGTATCTAACCCGAAAAAATCGGTATTTTCATTATAAATACTTTATATATTTTAGTCAGGTCAATAGGTCGGATCATCCGGATCGAGTATTTTTTAGCACCCATACTTATAAATTTATGAACATCCTCTATTTATCTTAAAAGCTCGGTAATTTCCATTAATAAGATTTTTATTTGTGATATAACTTTAGGTAAAAGAGTACAATTATCATAATATTTTTTGTTTCCTTTTGAATAAGGGAAAATCGTCACTCTATCTTATATTAGGTGGTGTTTCACTTTGGTTTGAAACATTGAAATGTTAACAATTTAACTTTAAATTTTTTTAGAAGAAAATTAGTGATTTACCGCTTTAGTTGGAAATAAGAGTGATGTCACTCTATCTTATATTAGGTGGTTAATTTTCTCCGATTAAATGCACGAATTGTTAATTTTCTCTCTAAAATTTTAATTGGTTAAATATCATTGTATTTGTTTAACTAAAAATGGATCATTAATTAAATTAAAATTTGAATTTGTAAATTTCATTGCAAAGACAATAATTAATCGACTAGGTATCAATTTTCGAACGTTGTGGGGAGTTAATCCTTCCCCACACATAATCAACTCCTGAAACCCTTTTTTTAGAAAATTAGACCAAAATGTTATTTTAATAATTTTTAAAATTAAAACATTTAAATATTGACATATAGTGGTTTGATTGAAATATTTAAATAGTTGAGTGGTTTGATTGATAAAATTGAAACATTAATGGTCAAAATGAAAACTAGTAATAGTTAAGTGGTTAGCCGTGTAGTTTACCCTATATTTTAGTTAAGCCTAAAATTAAAAATATTTGTATAAAAAAGTCAAAGATAAATTACATATTTAATCACTCATTATTCATATTATTTCATTTTGATCACCCAACTATTTTTTAATCGTCTAACTATTTTCTTTTTCAAAATCATCAAACATGTAGAAAGATCTTAAAAAGAAGCATGCAACTCTTCTTCCCATCATCTTTTTTACCAAAACCTAATTCTTGTCCGTTTTCCTCTCTTCAACCCCCCCCCCAAAAAAAAAAACCTCTTTCAGATCGCTCTTTCCTTTCAAAAGTTTCCCTTGCAGGGATGATTTTGAGGTTCAAAGTCATTTGAAAACAGGTTCCACTACTTAGTAGTGATTACCACTGACTGAGTCTTATATGAATGATTCTGATTTTAGTTGGAAATGCAAGAAGCTGAGACACCTTGATGAAGATTGCTTGCTCACCACATCCGAACAGGTTTATTATTAGTTATCTTCTACTAGAGGAAGTAGTTTGGTCCTTTACAATTATGAACTGTGGAAACATGCTTTTTCTTTAAGTTTTTTTTTTTCTATTTTAGGCTGTGACGAAGCCGAGCAAGCCCACTTCTCTATACAGAGATCTTCTTGAACTGTATAGAAGGTTTATACCATTCAATTTCATGTATTTATCCTAAATTAAGTATTTTCTAAAAAAGAAAAGCCTTCAAACGTTAAAAATTATTGTGCATGTGATTGCTTCATATATATTGTTTTCTTATTTATTTTTTCTCAACTGAAGGCAAATTTCGTATAACATATTCTTTAGTTTCCTTTATTTATATGTTTAGTTTATGAGGGTAGGGTTCATGCTCATCCTTTCTTCTCAAAAGTAGCTCGTACACCTGAACTTTTTATGTTAATCTGGTCTGGGTTGTTGAGCTTCAAAATCTTTATTTGACTAAACGAGCTAGATTTGCACCTTTGATCAGATGTGGTTTATTTCTTGGTTTATGTTGATGAAAAAAGGAATGACATTGTTATGTTTGAAGTCGCAATAACTTCCAATTCTTTGCCTTTCTTCATCTGCAGATGCCATGGGATAGGTGAAAACTTATCTCGTGCAAGCTGTAATGCGTGCCGTGGATGATTGCCTACCAACATGCCTTCATTGCAGCACTGTTGTTTGTAACAAGTTGTATAACCTCTATCATGTCATTTTGCTATATATTCATGACACTAACCTTTTACTTACCTATAAACGAATGGCTATTTCTAATTATAAGCTTGATACAACCCGACCATGCATTTTCTCCCTCAGTTTGCGAACCACGAGACGGAAGATGATTATGTTGCACTTGACGAATGGATGGTAAAAAAAGGTAGCAATTTGGGTAGAGGGGCGTTGGGGAAATAGTTGTATAGTGGCAGGTATATCGTTTTAGTGATTATTTTGTTAAATAAAATTAGTTGGGGTCGAAACGGAACTGTGAAAATAGTTGAATGACTAAATATATAATTTACCCTTTGCTTTTTTAATGTAGTGGTTTGAGACAAATGAGGTAATAATTTAAACTTTAGGAGCCAAAAAGTCACGAAAAATAATTTAAGAGACAACTCGATACAAATGGTATATTTGTGGGGGCAATAATGTATTTAAGTCTAATTTTATATAATTTTAAATTTAACATGGTATTAATATGATTAGTATAGTATTTAAACATATTTTATATTTAGTGACATCAATAGTAAAAATGAGTGTTATTTTTTCTAGAGGTTTCGAGTTCGAATATTTGTGTTTGTTGGGTGTGTGTATGTCAATTGACTAATAAAAATCTAAACCGATATTACTTTGTAATCATCAAAGACTAATAAATTTTTTTTTACAGAAATAAATATATTTTATTTATTCTTATCATAGCATATAATAGGATTCTAAGTTGATTTTTTTGTTAATTGAGATTATTATAAAATAGTATCTATTTAAAAAATTCTTAATTTATTGACATTGCATACACCCTGCAGGTGCAGGTATTCGAATTCATAACATTTAAGGAGAATAACATTTTCTTTTACTACGGATGTTACTTGATGTGTTCTTTTAAGTTAAAATTTTAATGATTAAAAATTACAGTTTTAATTATTGAAAATTTGGTTTAGAGCTGAGAATTCACCCTTAAATGATGAACAATTTGTTGGCAAGTATAAATAATAATAATATTTTCTAACTTATGAAGAATCCAAAAATAAGAAGGAAAAAACTTAAAGTTTTGAGTTTTAACATGTTTATTGTTGAACCAAATTCAAATAAATTTATGTGACTTGTGACAATTTCATGATTAACTTTTCGGTAAGTATAAGTAATAATATTATGGGTAAACTATACCGTTGACTATTAATTATAGTTCATTTTCAATTCAACCACTATCTTTTAATTATTGTTAATTAGATTATCCAATTATTTAAATTCAATCAGGCCACTAGCTGTTAACAGTTAACGGAAGTGTTGACGTGACAATTAATAAAATTGATATAATTTATATTTAGTCCTTATTACTTACACAATCAATCAAATTGATCATAATTTTAAATTAATTCAATATATTTAATCCTCTAATTATATGATGACATATGTCACGATATCATTGGAGGGCTTTTATTAATTTAATTTAAATATTTTTCTTTCAATTAGATGGTGACACGTTGCACCGTCTGATGGAAGGAAAATAAATTGAAAAAACATTGTCCTTGGTGGGAAGATAGAATCAAACCTTAGACTTCTTGGATGATAAGTAACAGCCTTAACCACTGCTCCAAGATTAATTTTTGGTATAATGTTTACATCAACTAATATTTATATTATAATATAATGAAGGTTAATACAATGAAAATAGAAGCAACACGAAAACGACTTGATTCGAATGAATTAATATTTTAAAATATATTGTTTATATTCAACCCGACCCACCCAGAAAATATATTGTTTATATTTGACTCGCCCTAACTTAATTCGAATAAATTAATATTTTAAAATAGTTAAAATAATATACTTATAATTATTTATTATGTTTTAAATGGTTAAAATAATATATTTTTACCTTAAACTCGATCCGTTTTGAATATATAAAAAAGGTAAACTAGTAATTTATATCGGTTGGGGTTGGGTCAGTGATTTCTTACCTTAAACTCAGCCTCGCCTTGATTCGAATGTGTTAATACTTTAAAATAATTAAAATAATACATTTATAATTAATTATTATAATTTAAATAGTTAAAACGATAACTTTTTCATTAAATCTAGCCCGATTCAAATATAGATATAGAAGAATAAACTAATAATTTATATCAGATTGGATCGAGTAGTTTTAGTGTTGCTTCTATTTTCATTGTTCTAGCCTTCATTATATTATAAGATAAATATTAGTTGATGTAATCATTATACCAAAAATTAGTCTTGGAGCAGGTTAATGTTGTTGCTTATCATCCAAGGAGTCTTAGGTTTGATTCCCCCTTCCCCTTTCAAAGACAATGTTGTTTCAATTTATTTTTCTTCCATCAGATGGTGCCACATGTCACCATCTGATTGGAGGCAAAATATTTAAATTAAATTAATAAAAGCCCTTCAATAATATCGTGACACATGTCATCATATAATTAGAAGATTAATTATATTGAATGATTTAAAATTATGATCAATTTGATAGACTGTGTAAGTAATAAGCACTAAATGTAAATTATATCAATTTTATTAATTACCACATTAGCACTTATGTTAACTGTTAACAACTAGTGGTCTGATTATATGCATTTAAATAGTTGAGTGGTTTGATTGACAAAAACGGTGGTCGAAATGAAAAGGGGCTATAGTTAAGTGGTTATCGGTATAGTTTGCCCTATTATTATTTTGGATTAAGAAATCTTAAATTTTTTAGTTTTAACATGTGTATTGTTGAACCAAATTGAAATAAATTTAACTTTTGATAATTTTATTATTATTAACTTGCAAGTTAGACTCTCATGTAAAAACTCAAACTTAAATTAGATTCACATTATTCCAATAAAATATTTTCAATTATATTTAAAAAAATGTTTAGATAATATGTTTAAGAAGTAATATTAAAGATAATAAATACATTATTTTTTTGAATAATAAGTACAATATTAATAAATATTAAAACACCATTCAAATATTAAATTAATTTAAAATAAAAACATGTAATAAAATTATAAACAAAATAATTATATATATAATTAAAAACATGTAACAAATAGATTAATATAAAAAACTATTATGTCTGATTCTTGGCATTCTCATCCTCTTAATTGGTGTAAGGTTAATATTGATGGGTCCCGTAACATAGGAAACATATTTGCTTCATATGGGGTGCTATTCGATCCTCGAATGGTGGTTGGATGCTTGGATTCTCTAAGACGATCGGAATATGTTCTATAGTTGAAGCAAAGTTATGGGGTATCTATGAAGGTATTTCTCATGCTTGGAATCTAGGGGAGAGGCAAGTCATGGTGGAAGCGGATAGTTTGGAGGTTGTCCGGATGCTAAAGGAAAACTCTAAGAGAGGCTCGATCTTTACCCTTATAGACTATGTTAGTGAGTTGATAAACCGAGATTGGAATATTACTTTGCAACATATAAACCGGATTGCAAATAAGGTGGCAGATAGACTAGCAAAGATTGCCGCAACAAGAAGTGAGGTTCACATGGTATTCTTCACTCCACCACTGGAAGTGGTCGATTTAGTTCAACAGGTAGTTGTTGGTTGCACTTTGGCAGTAGAGGCTTAACCTCTGTTTTGAAAATCGGATCAGATCGGTCGGTTCAACCGGGAACCGTTGCTTAGTCCGATTCAATCTAAATCGGTTGAACCGCTATTAGTGAACCGGTCAGAACCGCTGAACCGTTCGAATCGGACCGGCTGAAAACCGAAAAAAACCGGAAAAAAAAATCGGGATTTTTGTTTTTTTTGTTTAAAAAAATTAAACCAAACAACGTCGTTTGTTAAACGAGCCAAGTCAAACTCAAGTATTGCTGAGCTCGACTTGAACTTGAAAACTTTAAAAGTAAACTCAACTCAACTCAAACTCACAAGCTAAAAATTATCAAATTCAACTCAAACTTGAAATATAATATTGAAACTTGAACTCAAAAAAGCTGAACTCAAAAAAATTTAGAAGCTCGATTGAAGCCTAAAATTCGAGCTTGATTGAAGTGAAAGAATAGTCCACTCAATGCTCACCAAAAGTCTCCATGATTTTGAATGTCAAATTACCTCTATTATTTATAGAAGTTAGTTGTGATGCGCTTCTATGTTTCTTAGCCATGTGAGATTGTTTTGTTCTCATATTTTTACTCTTTAGACTTTTGGGATGCTCTTCTATGTTTCTTAGCCATGTGGGATTGTTTTTTTTTTAAAAAATTAAACCAAACAATATCATTTTGTTATGATTTTTTAACCCAAAATTTATTTTTTAATTATAGTTATATAATTATATTTATTATTTAATATGTTTTACCTTAAATATTATGTTGTAGTTAATTTGAATAATTTTGTTTCACTTGATTTTATGGTTTTTAACTTATATATGTTATGACTTGCTTTGAATATGACTTGTGATATAAAAAATTAATTTTTATTAAATATTTTTGGTATTTTTATTTAATTTTTTAAATAATTATGACGTCGTCCGGTCCTTTCGACCGGTCGGACCGGTTCAACCGGTTGAACCAATGAACCGGTGATCGGTTCGCTAACCGGTCCTGTTCTGAAAACCATGGGCTTAACTTTCTTTAGCTTATATCTTAGTTCACAAAAAAAATGATAAATATCTAAGAAAGTGATGAGAATGATATCATTTCAACTTAGGGATGGTAACATATTAGATTAGGATAAGATTTTTTGTCAATTTGGCTCAATTCGAAAATATGTATCTTCCAATGGAATTCGATCCGACCCGAAAATTATATATCTTCCATCTAACTAAAAAAATATATACCTTCCATTTCACTCTGACCCGACCGACCTGCTATAAAATAAGGATTTAACTAAAAATAATAAAAATTTTGAAGAAATTATATTATTATCCTTGAATTGGCTTGAGTCGGAGTTTTTTCACCCTTCATTCGATCTGATCCGACTTCACCTCTTAAAAAATTCAAGCCGAATCTAATTTTTAATAAAAAAATTGACCATGTTAGATCTGGTCAAATCAAAACTTGTCGATTTTAGGTTAAATTACCATACTTATTTCAACTAATAAAATGTTGGAAAAAAGGGTAAATTATGGATTTAATATTTACAATAAATTTATATTACTTTTAAATATTGCAAATTAAAATAATATTTATTTAATTTGAATAATAAAAGAGGAAATATATGTTTAATATTTAAATTTAAAAGATATTATTATATGTTTAAATTTAGATATTAAAAGAGTTTTGGTTTGAATAAAACTCTCAGGTTTAATATTTTAAATTTAGAATATATTTTTATTTGTTTAAATCTAAATATTAAAAGAGCTTGGTTGGAGTAAAACTCTTATGTTTAATATTTTAAATTTAAAAGATATTATTATATGTTTAAATTTAGATATTAAAAGAATTTTAATTTGAGTAAAACTCTCTCGAAATTTCTCTATAAATATTGAGCAATCCTCTCAGTTTTTCATATCTCATAATTCAATAAGGTTTCTTCTCGAGAAAAATATTTTATTTCCTTCTTAATTTTTATTTTATTTTCTTTTATTATAAAGAATTTGATTTTTTTTTCTCTTACTTGTTCTTAGGTTCTATTATTTACTGGAATTATTACTTTACTTGACGTAAAATATTACCGTTTGTATCTCTAGTAATCACTCCAAATGGAACTTAAAAATAAAATTTCAAAAAAACAAATCTCATTAATAAATAAATAGTATTGGGTACAGTGATTTGGAACAGTGTTATATATTACATTGTTTTGGTCTTTTGGATATGCTTCCCATTGCATTATGTTTCTTCATTGCCCTGCTCCTGTGAATAAAATGACCCCCCCTTAAAGAGAATTAAAGAAAACTCGTTCATGGCTTCAAACGCTGGTATTTTTGAATTTCGTCCTCGATAACTTTTTATTTTAATTTGCAGAATGTTTAATGGTGTGTGGGTCTTTCTCTCTTTGGGAAGGACTTCGCCAAAACCCAGTACCATGAAATTTTTCCCACATCTCTTTTTCAAGCTTAAACAAAGCTTTATCGTCTTCCTCCGAGACCTTCATATCCAACAAGATATCTTTAATACAAACCATGGACCCATCACTCGATTCGCCCTCTTCACAACCACAACCGTTCCTCGGTTGAAACAACCCTTTCTTCCGCAACATCCTCCGCCTTTTCAGGCGGCACAGCCCTGCCGGGACTTTATAAATCACTAAAACCAGAAGGTTGGCCAAACCACAAGGGCAACAACAACAAACAGCCGCGCAATCGGCAGTCGTCCCCCCACAAAATTCCCCGAAGTTCGCAATCTTCGTCTGACCGCTTCTATGGCTTCCATCGTTAACGCCGGAGAAAGACGTGAAATGGCTTTGCAGCAGCGGTTGCGGCTGCTGCTGGTAGACGGTACCGGTCGGCGTCCTGAGGATTATCCGATGAGACATTAAATAAAAGGGTAACTTTGATTCGATATTGTTTTGCTCCTCGTTGAATGATGATGTTTTTCAACAGAAATCCCAAAGAGTGAAACAGACGTGGTAATCTGGAAAGGCCAAAAGAAAACACAGCAAAAACAGATGAGCAGAAATGGGTAACGAAAATCAGAAACAGAGAAAGAGAAGGCAGAAGGGCATCTCCAATGTATCTTTAGTCTGGAGAATTTCTCACTTTGGAGATAATATTTTTCTCCAGCCCATCGCTAATGTGCGTCTTTAATATCACGATTTGGTACGGTACACGTCACATCTAGCCTGATATTATAGGTGCGTTACAATTCTTTTTTTGTAATTTTCTGATTTTTTTATATTCAAGAAAATTAAATTACAAAATAGATAAAAATACATTAAAATTAGATAAATAAATATATTAATTTTTTGAAACATAAACCCTACAACAAACAAAAAAACATAGAAAATATGATTTTATGTTTGTTGTAGTTTTTTTTGTAATTTTTTTGATTTTTTAAAATTCAAGTAGATTAAATTATAAAATAGATAAAATTATATAATTATGTAACCTATGTTTTTTGAATTATTATTATGAATTGTAATATTTTTATTTATTTGTATTTTTTCAATATTATTTATGAATGTTTTATTTATGTTTTTTTATCTTGACATTTATTAGAAATGTATATGTTTTATTTTATATTTACAAAATTAATATTATAATATTTAAATATTGTGAATAAAGTAGAGTTGATAGTAATGTAGAGATAGTGCTTTAGATAAATTATTGTTTCATTTTTAAAGTAAAGATAAAGATATTGTAGAGTAGAGATGAGGGCGGGAGACGACTAAAACAAAACCAAAGTGGAAATGTGAAGCTTTGAATTCTCTTCTTCTTATAACCCAAACGTTTTGGCCTTTTGGGTGTTTCAACAGTTTTGTTCCCCAAACTGATTTGTGCATACATTACGACTCGCCTTTATCAACCTTTTTTATTTTTAAGTTGAATTAAATTATTTGATTTTTATTTAGATTTTATAATAATTATTATATTAATTAATTTTAATTTAAACAACTTTCTATAGTTATATACTATGTACACATATATTTTCTTTATATTTTTTACTTGTGATATATATATGTCATGAGAGTTGAGGGTCTAGACTCAAGCTCGAAAATAAATCTATTAATTTTTAAAAATTTTGAGTTATTCAAGTCTTATTTTATAACTCAAATTTTAATAAAAAATTTAAAATTTCAAAATTACAAGTTAAATCACGTCGAGACAATCTTTTTTATACTGAATAAAGTAAAAAAATCATTTTCCTCAATCAAGTTAAATTTTGTTAAATTATAATTTTTTATATCTAAAATTTAAATTCCCTATTTTAAAACTTCATTAATTTACTAACATATAATAATTTTTTCAATAGGTTGTCTGATTCATATAATAAATTTATAAAAAAATAATTTACTAACAAGTCATTGAAAAATAAATAAGTAGAAAATTTAACATGCGACGTGAACTTGTATAATTCAGTATTAAGTGGCCATCAAAGTTTTTCCAAAATGACGTGCTTCCCTAACTTTATATCCACAAATGATTATTTATTATAAGATCTTCTAGAAATTTAAATATTTGTTTTTTTATTATTTAAAAGAAACTGTAAATTTTCATTTTGTCTTTGGGTTTACTCCAGTAGCCGCCCTCTTTGATTTACTAATAAATAATTTGGTAAAGTTGGAATAATTCGTTAATAAATTAATAACCGTTTTCTAATATATTCATGTGAACGAAAAGTCGTGGATTTCCGACTAGCAAATCGGGTTGACAGAGAAAAGAATTTAAACCGCTAATTTATATAATCCAAATTAAAAATAATTAGATTAGATATCAGGTATAGTTGTCGCACTTTAATTAATTAATTAATAAAAATTAGAATTGTGTAACTTTATTAAGATTCTAGATGAAGGGTAACTAAGCTGTAGTGGTGGGATCCAATTTAGTCCATTTAGGTGGGAGAACTTACCACGCGCGTTAGGTAAAAGTCAATGATGAAACGAATTTTGCATAGAACTTATCCCCCTATGCCTATTACATTGTTTCCAAACACGACATCGTTGGTACACGTAACATTCTCCCTAGTGATGGTCCCTATTTAGGTATAATAATTTAACTTAATTCTGACGGGTTTAAGATCAAATTTCTTTAAAATAATTTAGGTTTGGTCAAATTTGTTGAGGGGTGATGTCGGACAGGTTAAGTTAAGTGGAGAGTAAAAAATTCTAACCGATTCAATTTAACCCGGTAATAATAATATAATTTTTTTAAAATTATTATTTGTTTAATTAATTCTTTATTTTATACGGGATCTAGTTAAATTTATACTTTAAAAATTCGGATTGAATAAGAGTATAGTGGATGATATATATTTTTGGGTCGGATTGAGTTGGATGGAGAATATATAATTTTCGGGTCGGATTTGGGTAGAGTTTACATTTCCATCCCTAGACCTATTAGGGGTGAAAAAATTAATGGTAAACTATACATTTAGTAGCTAAACTATTATTTTTACTGTTTTGGTATCTAAACTTTTATATATTATGGAATATAATGAGATGCTAAAATAAAAATAAGACTTGATATAAAAATATTTTTTTGAAAGATATTTAAATAATTAAGATAAAAACATATAAATAAATGAAATATAACAATTTTTATATCCAACAGGAGATATTCTTAAAAAGAAAAAAGAATTAAATTTCATAAGAAATACTTGTAGGGTTAACTGTCTAATTGCTGCCAAAAGCAGGCAAAAATACCAATAGGCATCGAGCAATTTGAAACACACACAGGTAGAGTTTGGTTTGATGAAATTCCTTGGAATTGGGAGTAGAATATAATTTCATCACTTTTTCATGTTTGATTCAAGTTTTCGAAGGGAATTGGAATGCCTCATGGCTTCAACTTTCTATCAAATGAATGGATGTAATTCAATTCCCTTGTTGGAGGGAATTGAAATTTGATCATACTACCCTCATCAATCTTTTGATAACTTATTCATATATTGAATAAAAATATTTTTTTATTATTTCGGGTCGGGTCGGGTCGATGAAACTTTATTTTGGTCAGGTCGGGTCGGTTTTTTTAAGTGTGATATTCAAGTTGGGTCGAATTCGGGTTTAGGGTGAAAAATATCCGACCCAAAAATATATATAATTTTACCTTATATATTTAAGAATAATTACAATAATGCCCATCTTTATATATATATATTTTAATTAAATCACTGTTTTTTATTGAATAAAAATATTTTTTTATTATTTAGGGTCGGATCAGATTTCTAATTCATATATTCGGGTCGGGTCGGGTCGGGTGAAACTTTATTTTATTCGGGTCGGGTCGGGTTTTTAAGTGTGATATTCAGGTCGAGTCGGGTTTTTTTAAGTGTGATATTCGGGTCGGGTCGGGTTTTTTTAAGTGTGATATTCGGGTCGGGTCGGGTTCGGGTTTAGGGTGAAAAAAACCAGACCGACCTGAAAAAAATATATAATTTTACCGTATATATTTAGGAATAATTACAATAATACCCCTTTATATATAATCTTTTTCAATTAAGTCAATATTTTTATTGAATAAAAATAGTTTTTTATTAGTTTGTGTCGTGTCGGGTCGGGTTTCTAATTCATATATTGAATAAAAATAGTTTTTGGTATATTTTTTGGTAACTAATTAACATACTTCGATTGGAATGTATCAAAATATTGTTCTATCTTTTGATAACTTATTAACATATTTTAATTGCGACGATTTTAACTTATGATGTTTATTAGCATGATTTTTAAAATTTATTGAAATGAGTAATCAATCAATAAAATAAAAATTTAATATTTTTTTAATTTTTTATAATATATTACTACATGTAAGTTGTAAAACAAACTAAAATAAAGTAAAAAAACAATAAGGACAATTCTGTCATTTTACATTACTGAAATCAAATTCATCTAATATGTATGCGAATCAAACAAAATATGAAATTAGATTCTAATTCCATTTCCTGCCAACCAAACATAATATGAAATTGAATTCTAATTCCTGACAGATTCTAATTCCTTCACAGATTCCAATTCCCTCATAAACATTTCAACGAACCAAATGCCACCTAAGTGAATTGCATTTAATGCTACATTAGAATATTAGCATCTACTTCAATTTTAGTTATTGCGCAACTAACACTCACTTTTGTCAGATTCTTACATGTCCACGAAAAAAGTGTCAAATTTTTGCATCCATCAAATTAATTTAATATTATATTAATTAAAAGTAGAAAAATATTAAATTAATGTTTAAATTATAAAAGTAGAAATTATTATTGAAAATATTAGGGACTTTAATTATAAAATAAAAAAATGAGATTAAAAAATTAGAGATCTCAATTTTAAAAGTAAAAAGTGAAATTGAAAAAAATTAAGAGCTTAAATTATATAAGTAAAAAATGAGATTGAAAAAAATCAAAGACTTAATTATATACGTAAAAAAATATTAAAAAAAAATTAAAACCTCAATTATAAAGGTATAAAATAAAATTAAAAAATCATGAACTAAATTATAAAAGTAAAAAGTATAATTAAAAATTTTAGATCATTAATTATAAATATAAAAAATAGGCTTAAAAATTGAAAATCTCTATTATAAAATTAAAAGGTTAGGATTATGAAAATTTAAAACCTCAATTATAAAGATAAAAATTATAATTATAAAATTTAATTATAAAATAAAAATATAATAAAAAATTAGGAATCTTATAAAAAAATAAAGAGCCTGGCTGGTAGGGTTGCACCTAGTAATGGTAACGGGTCAGGTTAAGATTAGATTTTTGGTCAACCCAATCTCACCCGAAAATATTCACATCCACCCATAATCATCTGAATCGAAAATTTTATATCATATGCCTAACCCAAAAAATATATATCATCCATCCGAGTACAATTCAATCTAATTTTTTTAGAGTATAAATTGGATTAGATCCGATATAAACTAAGAATTTAATTAAAATAATAATAAATTTTTTAATAAAATTATTATTCTCAAGTCTAATCAGGCCAAATTTTTTTAACCCTCTACTCGAAGTCAATCAGACTTCACCCCTTACAAAAATCTTATCCGACCTGATCGGAATCTAATTTTTTTTAAAAAAAAATTCGATCCA